ACAACCTATACTAAAAGTACTTTAGGTCAAAAACAGCCATAACTATGTACTATATACCCACAATCGTAAAAGGGCCCACCCCCAATTTGTTATCACATAAAGCCTTAAGCACTCAAAGCACTATCTCTATTCCCCGTAATTGCGCGGCTCCTAATATCGGCACACAATAACAGCGTATCAACGGAACGACATCAATAATAAAATAATATAAAAAGCAACTTACTTTCCGAGGAAAAGGACATATTAATTTCGCTGGTAACCCTCGAAGTGGTTGTCTCTTTCTAGCTTACGTCGCAACGTATAGCGCTATCTCGTTCGCTCGCCCGCGCTTAAGTGCCGGGCCAGATGTTGCCAGCGTTTTATTGAAAAAGTCCCGAAGGCGTGTTGCTACTTCCCGTTACTGAATTAAGATGTTGCAACGTAATAACGTTATTGGTACGTTATTAACGTGTTTCTATTGTTTTTATAGTTATTTTTCGAACGGAGTTATTAATTTATTTTGATGATGTGTTCTGTTATTGGGATTGTACGCAGTGTTTTTGTCTAATGATCGTGTTAATCGAGTGGACGCAAACGCGACTGCTGAGTTTAGATAATTATGTCGATCTATATCTGATTTCAATAAATATTATTCGACAATTTCAATTTTATTTATTTACTCTTTAACTGATGAATGAGCAGCTAGCTTCAATTTTTTGTTGTTGACGTTCAAAAGTGCCTTCCTGGTCTAATTGAAATAAATTACTTCGACTTTAACTTTAATGCACACAAAAAATAATAAGATAGGTACATTAGGCGGACTTAATGCCATATTTTTATTTTAGTACGTTCTGTTATTTGTATGTTGCGTCAGGTATGTCTTTACATTATTCTCACATGTGTGTACAATATTGGAATATGTATCAGAGCAATGTAAAACAGACTTTTTTTAAAAGAGTAACGAAAGGAGTTTCTTGCTCATTCTTCTCCATTCGAATCTACATTTTGGAATGAGCACCTAGCTTCACCTAGTTTCATTGACGGACAGACTGACAGACTATTATTTATTTCATATTTGTTGACGTTTCAAAAGTACCAAATTATGGTTTAATTGAAATAAATGCTTTTGAGTTTGAGTTTATATTATTTTTCCCACGGATTTCTCCAATTTTCTACCACGAATTGAGTATTCAATTATTATTTTATGCTTCTCTTCAATCTCCCCAATCCTTGAATCCCCAACGATCCTTAAACTCCTAATCCCCAAAAAGCTGGTGACGCACTACTAGCGCCTCTGGTGTTCCAGATGTCCATGGGCATGGAATGTCCATGGATATGGAATAGGAGTCAAACGAGCAGACGGATCACCTGATGGTAACCGATCAGCGCCGCCCATGGACACCCGCAACACCAGAGGAGTCACAGGTGCGTTGCCGGCCTTTAAAAAGGAATACGCTCTTTTCTTGAAGGTTTGAAGGTCGTATCGGTTTGGTAATACCGCCAACGACAGATCATTCCACAGTTTTGCTGTGGATCTAGAATTAAATTAACAATATTCGAAAATACGTCTTACAAACTTCAAACTTTGATAAAATTCTCTCTTATCATTGTTTTGTATTCGGTCTTTCCCAAATGCTGCGGCTAAATGTACCTTAGAACCATGTAGAACATACCGATATATATGGAATCTAATGAACATTAAGGCTATACACTTTGCCACCGCCGGGCACCCGGTTCCAGGTAACCGGGAAAAGGGTCTCAGTCATAATACTACTACTTATAACACTTACGCCGTCGGCAATGATTTGCAGATCTGACTAAATAGTTGGTATACTATACTAAATAGTTACCCTACATTTACCAACAGAATATATATAGACAATTTTCCAAAATTCAATCACATATTTTTAATCACACGATAGAGTTGCAGATATCGTTGGAATCCGTCGGATCTATCTATCTGAATCCAAACAAAACTTCTTTAATTTTTTTTTATTCGATAAGCCGGTAAACGAGCTTGCGGATCACCTGATGGTAAGCAATCGGCGTAGCCCATGGAGCCCCAGAGGCGTTACAAAGGCGTTACCAGTCTTTTAGGGATTAGGAATTTAAGGAATGATGGGATTCAGGTTATGATATTAACCGAACACCGACGGGATTTGATATGATTACTGTAACAAAAACTGTTTACTCTGGCGACTTTTTCAGGTTTTTTTAAACTGAACTAATAGCCATTACAGTATTAAAGTGTAGCAGTGAGAGCGCTGCTCATAACCAAGGCATTAAGGTCTCTTTTGTAGCACGAAGCACATTTTGCTAAATTTGAAATACAAATTATTATAGGAAATGCAAATTATAGCTACGAAAAGACTCAGAAAAATATTAGGTAATGTAATTTCACATCGAGACTTCGCTCTACCAATATAAAACGTAAGTATTTGTTTTTCAATGTAAAAACTATTCAAACATGTACTTTAAATAATTATCATCAGAGAGAGGCCATTTAATAATACCTACATTATAATTTAAACGACAACCAAATAAAATACTTAATCTAATAACAACGCATTTACACTAAAATTCCTGTCGGACATCAGAAGTCCAAATGAATAAAATCTTCTTTAGTAGTAGTAGCAGAGCGATAGTCACCGCGTCGCGGTCGCGGAATGCTGCTCATGAATATGAGCCTCTAACATGGCTTGAAACTAGTCGAAATCCTCGTCAAACAATAACGTAAGTCGAAAACATAATAATTAAAATCTTTTGTTATTTCAAAAACTTATAAAGAAAGAAAGAAAAAAAATACCATTTATTTTGCTACGACACACAACAAGAAACTAGAAATACAAAAAAAAACGTATCGTGCGTCGCAGCGCAAAAGGCTGGAGCTCAGCTTAATACCGTGGACCGGGCACAGAGGCTCGAGCCCACGGCGCTTATTTTCAGCACCAGCCCGTTATAGTACGTACTAGTTAAATATCTACACTAACGCTGCTCGGAGTACAGCATGATGTATAATATAGTAAACTAGCGACCCGCCCCGGCTTCGCACGGGTGCAATATGCATGTATTATACATACAAACCTTCCTTAAGAATCACTCTATCTATTAAAAAAAACCGCATCAAAATCCGTTGCGTAGTTTTAAAGATCTAAGCATACATACGGACATACAGCGAAAGCGACTTTGTTTTATACTATGTATTGATTAATATAAAAGTGAAAACAAAATCAATAGCTACGATTACTGCCAAAAATCTAAATAAATGGATAAAAAATAAATCTCCACTTCTACCTTTCCTGCCCGTCATAATATTCACTCAATTCTCGAATTTACAAAACAAATGTATCCAAATTCAAATTCTATATCAAGTACGCAAATGTACCGACAGATAGATACATTAGCCTAAGGCCAAACCACGGTTCCCGGATAATGAAAACTTCAGAAAAGTGGGGCGTAGAAGAATTCAACAAATCAACGCTTAATAAAATTCTATGCCAACGTTAATCAATCTAAAAATGGCGTAACTAAAGACTTTGTATTGTTTTTTTAAGGGGGGGAAATCATCGAATATCTGCTCCCCCGCCTGGGTGAAGCGGGAGGGAGTGTCAGACTCTTACTGACTAAAAACCACCCCGTTCCTACTCCTGCACTTCGAGCCGGAGCCCCAGTAACCCGTTACGTTCTCCTCAGCTTCGTATCGGCATCAGCCCTATTTTGCCCCATCCTAGGTGATCTGATGGCGAGCGCGGAACGCGACGCGCCGTACGCTCGGGTCTGGTTCTGGTCGGGCAGCGAGCCACCCATGCTCGCTGTCCGCAGGCCCGCGCTTATGGTGGCCGGAGATCGTTTAAGTTTTGACGTTTAACGCCTTCTTGGTCTAATTGAAATAAATGATTTTGACTTTGACTTTTTCTTTAAGGGACAAGTCCGCCACATCCTCCCAAAACCGCTGCAACTCCTGTACACCAAGATCTTCAGTAGATACAACGATACAAACACCGGAACACTGAAGTCCGGCGAAGTTTGACTTTTATTTATTAATTTTCAAAATATTACGACTTTAATGTTAGCACCTAGTATTTAATGATTTTCCATGCAAACTTCTGAGTTTGAACCTTCTTGCTAGAATTAAATGTTCTCTGGAACACTTATATTCATGTCTTCTAAAGTTTCTATAAAAAAATCCCAGTACGAAATTACTTCCGACCATTTTCCTAATTAGATTAGGGTATATATATTTATTGTCAAAAAATCTAGCAACTATCAATAACCCATAATATTTGGATAAGGATTTTTGTAGCCTTCCTTCTATTAAATCTTTATGTGATCCGCAGTTTATAGATTAAAATTGATTATTAATTTCAGCCCTTGAAATAATACCTTCTTCATAATTATCTAGCCATAAACATCGGAATATGATTGCTCTTAAACTGAATCAATGCCTCTTCTAAATTGGAAAATAAATGAGCATATATCATTAAAACTTAAACCGGGTCATCAATTTCAAAGACATTTTAAATATTTAATTTGTAACCAACCAGGGTGCTTATTCTTGAAACCAATCTCAATGTCAACGCAATTTCAAACCAATAAAATTTCAATAATTATTCAATGTCAAAACTATACAACCACAATCGTAGCTGTTACAATAGCATTCAGAGTACGGAATATAAAGGAATATAATACGGAATATAAAGCCAAATACCATTTAGTTCATTCAATATCCACGCAATACGGATGCAATGGGCGCTAGTGTTGCAAGTCAAGAGTACGAAATTTCACAATACCAATGTCGATCGATCGGAATTGGATTCAAGAGTAAGCCTCCAGGTTCCTAACGACATTTTCCTTTTACTATATATCAATAGTGTCTAAATTACATGTGTAAAAGTCCAACCACAGACTCGCCTACACATGCTTAAGCGCTTTAACGTCTAAGTCACCACGATAAAACTCATTACAAGAACCGTTAAACAAAAACGAACCCTAATTAAAATAAGAATTCAAGCAAAACTCACCGCTAACGTTGTTACTTTTCAAACTATCTTCCCCCAAAATGGCACTAACACTGAACTTCAATAACGGCTTCTTTTGCTCCGTATATTCATCACAATTTCGGACCAGATCATCTGTGTATCCCTTATCATGTTTCTCTGCTTCATCGCCAGAATTTTCATGATAGTTCAGATTAAATCGCTTCTCCAACTCTTGAAGGCGTCTGATGCCGGACTTTTTGCACGAGAATGGGGGGCATTCGAATGACCCACATGTTTGACACCGACGGATCAAATTAGGAACGTTTAAAACCTCTTTTTCTGTGGAACGAGATTCTTCGTTTCTTGTGTAAAATTCGTTGTTGAAGTACGCCTCGTTTTTTACGTAATCTTCATCTCGACTTTTCGAATCCTCGTCCTCTATTTTGGAGTCTTCAATCGATTCTTCTTGGCGATTTTCTTCATCACATTCAGCTGATTTCGGATCGTCTATCTCTGGAGTATTATTCCGTGATCTCTCATAGTTCTGTCGCACATAATTCTCGATTTGTTGGTTTATATACTGATTCTGTAATTCAGTTTTTTGTTGATGCAAAATGTTGTCGACGAGAAACGGTGACGTCATCGTAAAAGGCCCCGTATTCGACTTGTTATAGCAGAAATTTTGTATCGTCTTCAGCATAATGTTGTGGTCTAGATTTTTGCCAAACGAATTCAGTTTTAGCTGTCCATTTTTCAAATCTGTTGGGTACATAATACGTTTTGACTTAAACCTAATTAAAATTGCACAAAAACTATAAAAAAATGTTTTATTAATTGTCTATAGAACATCACTATTTAAATCACTAGCGTTCGATTTTGAAATTGAAAATCGGCGTTCGGATACGCGTCTAAAAATTATTTCAACACGTGCGTCCCGTTCCGTGGTGCAACTACGACTGAATTGAAGGGAGTGGTTCTTATAAAAGGGGCGTGTATCCGAACATAGGGTGGCTTTTTAGGCGCGCTTTTGTTTGCCCCACCAATTTATATTGACCTCTACTTGCGTTTTAAACTGTACTGAGGACAGATCTACCTTTGTTAGTCGTTTTATAGCCTTACAAACTTAAAGATTACAACCTTGTCAAGCGAAATTAAACCTTATATTTTTGCAAAAGAAAGGATTTCTTAAACTCTGGGCTACATATTTATAGTTGCAGACGTTCGGATATGTATGTAGTTATTCATAAGTGAGTCGAAAAGGGTATATTTAGTTGTTTTTTATCGAGTTAGTTTCGCCCCCCAGCGCCGCCCGCATTTATTGTAACAAAACTCGTTCGCGATTGATATGAACCGGTAATGGTGGCTTGATAATAGAAAATGGTAGCCATATTGGGTTTTCTCGAAATTTATTGTTTTATTTCTGCAATTCTGTGTGAAAATGTCGTATCTGGTTGGGTTTTTAAAGATGGTGGTTAAATTGACATCACGAATCTTATTGCTTAAGGTGGTAGGCAGTGGAATCCATTTGTTAGCACCCTTACTCTTCCCACGGGTGATGACTGCAGCAGCGATCTCTGATACACCTGAACCTTTTATACTGCAATCTCCAACCCGCCTGCCTGCGGAGATTATGACACCTCACAGACCTCTTATGTAGGAGGCTGTCGATGGGGGAATGTCACTTATATCATTAATACTTATTTGAGTTCCCTTATCTCGATTACATACCATGCTAACATCGAAAATACAAAAAACAAAGAATCGAACCTTGAATCAACGGTTTCGCAACAATGCTTGCTTAATACATATTTAAATACATTAAAAAAAATTTAATAGAAAATCTCCTGACACTAGTAAATGAATAATACTTTGTCTGACCCGAGATTCGAACCAAAGACGACTTGGTTGACAGTCGTACTTTCAACCTCACGACCGATGAGGCAGTCAAAATGAAAATAAAGGAAACTAATTGGACAAGACCACTATACTTTTTCAAAACACGTGTAGGTATGCCTAATATAAAATACTGCAACATGATTAATATATAAAAGAATAAGAAGAATCAAAAAACCTTTTAAATTAACTTATAACGACAATTTTCAGTTTGCCTCCACTGAAAATCCTCCCCCAAAACATAACAGCTGATACTCAATATCCTCTCAACCCCTAATCGCCGAAAAAACATGAAAAACTGAGCTCATCCACATGAATGGACAATTCAGAGAGAAAAATTGCCAATTTAGTAATAAATAATCATATTTTTCATTAATTTCTAAGACGTCTCAACACCACGACGTCCAAGCATCGACTGAGCTTAAAGAAGACCGCTGTTCGAAAAGAAAAAAAATCGTTCCAATTTCAAAATTGGCCCCGCCCCTCATTGTTATTGGCTGTTACGGAGTCTATAACCGCTTTTGTTTTCCACATTTGAGTTTCAACTTTATTTCATTTGATTTTAAGTTGGTTTTGTATTGGATTTTTTATTTGTGGAAAAAATATCATGAATTTTATTTCTTCAAGCTTGATATTAGATTTAATGAGGTGGAGTAGGACAGTTGGTTATAGCGGTTAAATGTTCTCTCAAAGATTGAAAATAACTTACTGAAGGTAGTAATAACCGTCTCGTTTAAATATTATCACCGTGATTGCTTAGTATGCTGCCGTGCAACTTGTCGCGGGTTCGATTTCCGCACGGAACAACACTTTGTGTGATTCACAAATTGTTGTTTCTGATCTGGGTGTCACGCGTGGATGCCACACGACACAGGAGAAAATCCTAATGTGGGGCTTGGGTTTTAAACAACATAAGTAGAACTAGGTACTAATTTTGTATGGAATAGGGCGATAAACGAGCAAATGGATTGCTTCATAGTAAGCGGTCAGCGTCGTCCAAAGACATACGTATTCGTTTCTGTAAGAAAATAAAAAATATGTGTGTAATGATTTAAAATAATCTACCAGACGGACATTAAAATAAAAATTAGACGTCTACCTTATTATACATAGCTCCGAAGGTGGCCGGTGTACGATAATGCGTTTGGCCCATACAAAAGAGGTTGATAAACCTTCAAAAGGGGTTACGCAATAATGGACACTGAATGCCCTAAGATCTTGAAGAGGAAGCTAAAGATGCATCAAACTTACTGTAATAACAAACCATAGGAACAACATTTTATAGATGAAAAGCGTGTAGATGAAATTATTAGCTAAGATGATGCAATGAAATTACTAATGGATATATTTTTTTTGTAAACTGCGTTTTAAACATTGACTTCAAGTTCAACCTCCTCGTTTTTGAAGTCAGTGAATTACTATACTAAAATCTTCTGAAAACTGCATCAAAATCAGTTTAGCCAATCGCAAAATCGAAGAATCGCGCACAAACATGCAGACATACACACAGGTCGAACTGAGAACCTAATTTTTTGTGTGAACTATTCGACGAATGCTCGACTAGTTTCGAGTTACACCGGGACCCATAAGTCTAAGTCATAATTGTACCTCTTGAAATTAAATAAAAACTGACAGCCTCATTGGTCGTAAGTGCGATTGCCAGAAAAGGGGTCTCGGATTCGGTTCAAGGGTCGGACAAAGTACAATTGGGTTTTAAAAAAATCTCAGTAGTAGCACGGAGTCTGAAATTGTGCCCGGTATATCGCAAATGGCAATAGGCTCACTTCCTATTACATGGGACTCATAACATAAATAGTGAAAAGTGGGTGTAACATTGTACAATGGCAGTAAGTGGCGTAATGTACACCTAAGCCTATCCCTTCGGGGACAAAAGGCGTGATGTCATGTTATGTAATAAAATAAAAAATATTGTTTACAGTAAAAACCCTACCTTTAACTAATGGTTAAGTCTAGCCAAAGCTTCAATGAAGATATCAGCTCATGAGGAAGAACCCCTCTGTGGTTCGAAACTAGTAGAGCTTTTCTCAGTATATTCACGTGAGTAACCCGCGATTTTTAGTTAATTTAGAATGTCTCACGATAGTTATTATAAAAATAATATTATATTAATGTCAAAGTTTCTTTGTTTACATGTTTGGCTGTCAATCACATTGAAAGTACCTACTGAACGGATTTTGATGAAGACGGTATACAGTTATGGGCTGACTCCGGTGATAGGATTTGATTAGGAGTTTGTTTCGGCATTTCTTCTCAGAGTAGTCAGTTAGAAAGTGTCGACCTCATCGTTCGCTTGATAAAATTGACGTGTAAAAGTGCTGCCTTGTAGCCTATTTGCAGAAATTAATTCACTTGTTTTAATTGTTGTTTCACTTGATACTTTTTATACCGATTAAATGCTCCCATGGTATAAAACAGGGATCATATTCTACGCGGACGAACTAAATAGGTATCTAAGTACCTTAATAAATAGGTATTTTTGAGGTTTTGAGGGGAGGCCTTTGTCCAGCAGTAGGTGTCTTCCAGGTGTTGATGACGATAGTGATTATTTTTTTACTTTTTTAGACAAAATTCCCATGTTTAATTGCCATAGATACACCGAGCACAATTCTAAACTCTTTAATAAATTACAGATGTTCTTAACTGTAAAAATTCCAATAGTGCCCACTTAGATACTTTACCCGAACCCAAGCTAAACCCACTACACCCTTTTGCTTCGCGCTATCGACCAATGAACCGCACAATTGGGTACTTTCCTTAATCAAAAATGGATTATTTCGACTGTTCAATACAATAAAACGTAAAAAGAATAATCACACTTTCATTAATTGATTTTATGACCAACTTCATTTTAGTATTTTTCCAGCAAATTTTTAAGTAATAAGTCCTCTGTTTGACGCTAAAAAAACGTGACGTCACAATACACAATCAAAATTCATAGAAAACTGTCGTTTTTGCAAGTTCGAGAAAAGTATTGAATTTGACTAGCAAGCTGGCGAGTACCCGATTCAAAATAAATAACCTAGTCTAAAAAGTCACCCACATAACACAATACGTTGTTTTGACATCGCAACCCCTTCGCACCCCTTCCGCAACTGCCCGTATCAAATCAAAGATATTTAGTAAATACAGTTGCGATTTGAATAAAATTTATTATAAGCATAATATGCATGTGATTATTCACGCTGTTTATCGTTAGGGGGTGAGCACTTGCGTTGTTGTTAAACTAGATAGAAGATGGATTTGGTGTTTAAAATCAGAATAAATGGTGAATTGATGATATCTCTTTAATGGCCGATTATACTCTATTATAAGCTGTTAAACGAACAGACGCACCACCTTCTTCTCTTCTTCTCTTCTTTCTTTCTTTCTTCTTCTTTCTTCTTTTGGGGATTAGGAATTTGAGGATCATCAGGGATTCAAAGATTGGGGAGGAGGGGAGTAATTGGGCCTCCGGTAACCTCACTCACACGACGAAACACAACGCAAGCGTTGTTTCACTATGGTTTTCTGCTCGGCCGTGGTATCACTTCGATAGAGCCGGCCCATTCGTGCCGAAGCGTGGCTCTCCCACACTTAAATTTTAACATAGGTCACCTTAAATGAGTTCAAGTTCGGTCGGTTGGAACTTGGAAGCTGCTGCAGCGGCATCCAACAGCGACCTTTATCAGGTCGTCTGTTCGCCTTGTGGGTGGACGTCCAGGACAACACTAGGGGCGGCTTATATTCATCAGGGGACGGCTTGTGGCTGATGTGATAATGATGAAAGATATTTATGATATCCTGTTTAACCAATTTAACTAAAAATCGCGGGTTACTCACGTAAATATACTGAGAAAAGTTCTACTCGTTGCGAGTCACAGAGGGACTATTCCTTATGAGCAGCGGGCGCGGTCGCAGCTCAGTTCCGCCGCCTGCTCTAGAAGAATTATTCTCAGTATATTTACGTGAGGAACTCGTTATATTTAGCCAATTCTGTGTAACCATTGATTGACATTGAGCAGCAGCGTTAT